GTCACTCCTCCTCAGTCCACATATGGTCACTTCCTGTTCACTGGCTGCAAAAAGCCAAGATGGCGACGGCCAAAATGCCGAACTCTGGCTTCATAACATCAGTCTATAGACCAATGGGTGACTCGTGTTCTCTGAATCTTTCCCGCCTCAGTAACGACGGGACCGAGTTCGGCGGCTCCATCTACCAGAAGGTGAACGAGGAGCTGGAGACGGCGGTGACTCTGGCTTGGACCGCCGGCAGCAACAACACTCGCTTCGGCATCGCCGCCAAATACAAGCTGGACAAAGACGCCTCTCTGTCTGTGAGTGCTGCTGGTTGTGCTCCTCTGTGAAGGCAAATCCTCACAAACTATTCTGCCATTTTGTTTTAACGTCTCATCACGTTTTAACCCCCGCAGGCCAAAGTCAACAACGCCAGTCTGATCGGAGTGGGTTACACTCAGAGCCTCCGGCCAGGTAGGCGTCTTATCTTACTACGAGGAGTCCTCAAAGGTTCATAGATAACACGTTCCTCTTAACAAAACTTAAGTCACATTCTGTGGTCTTAACTTTGACTACAAAATAAAAGTCCTGAACCTCTATAGAAACAGAACCATCATGACTAGAATTAGAGAGAACTAGAACATGTCTTCAGTGCAGAATAACAATGACTGAACTCACTACGTCTGCTGTGATTGGTTGACATGTCAATCACATCGTCATAACGGTTTAACGCCGTTGGCACAGGTAGCTTTTCTTATTGAAAATGACAAATTCCGGTTCAGCCGGTTCTGAAAATCAAACCGGTTTCAGCTCGAAACCCGACCGGACCGGAAAAGACGGAACCCGAGCCAAACTGTAGTATCACAACACCGTCTGCATGTCTGAACGCGTTTCCTCCCTCCGACGGGAAAACACCAACCGATTTAACAACAGAACGTAGAACGTAGCAGTTCTAACAGTTAGGAGAGAAAAAGGTTCAAGATGTTCCTGCTTCATCTGCGAGTCTTTAACGGTTTAAACATTTCATTTAGACGGGATTACAAAGTCTTACACGGTAACACGAGCTATAAATGCATCATGTTTCTGATAAGATTTGTTTCTGCTGCTTTCCATACGGTCACTTTAATTAAATTAATTATATCACTATTATTATTATTATTATTATTATTATGTTCTGTTGGGAAGATCTCACAGAAATGTGATGAATAAATTAAATAAATCTAAATTTAGTGAATAATTGCAGGTGGTATTGTCCCTTCAGTACATTTATTTAAGTCCTGTTCATGTCAAATAGATATTGAATAAAGTTATTTGAACATAAAGGTCTCACAGTAACGTGCGTCGTGTCTCTGCAGGCGTGAAGGTTACTCTCTCAGCTCTAATCGACGGGAAGAACTTCAACGCCGGCGGTCACAAAGTGGGGATGGGCTTCGAGCTGGAGGTGTAACGAGGAGAACAAAGAAGAGGAAAAAGAAAAGAGACCCCCGAACCACATCAACCCCCCCCCCCCCACACACACACACACATACACTTCCTCCCCCATCGTCCACACATTTCATGAGCATCTTCTGACAGTGATGGCGGAGCCTCGGCGTTGAGCTTAAACAGACGAGTTGCGAGGTCGTCGATCCTGAAACTGGATGATTACGACACCAAGTTATTCCCCATTCCCCCCCCCGCCCCCCCCCCCCACCCGTAGGTCGTCGTTGATGTGTAGCTTCTGTTCTTCGGTCGCGTCCTGCCTTCCTTTAATAAAAGCATGTAAGTAAGAAAGAAAAGGTGGAGCTCAAAGCTTACTTGCTGGTTAAAAAGAATATAAAAAGGTGCTGAGTGTCTGTTACGTTTGGAGCACTTGTTACTATTTAATCCGTTTAAATGTTTCACACATTTCATGAACATATGACTGAAATATTGAGGCCGAGTTGGTGAATGAAGGACATTTTACAAACGATGAAGGTCTGCTCAGATGCTCCTCTCTTTGATCCTTTGTCTTTACCGGTAGGTGAGATCAATGTCGTGGAATCTTCTCATGTAGTTAGTTTGCATTTCTACACTATTGTTTTCATCTGTCGTCACAAAGGACCGTGAGGATAGAGATGTTTTTGCGTCTGCTGTTTCCTCTCGTTGCCGTCGCTGCTCTCTTCTCTTCTCAATAAAAACAACCTTCACTCCTCAGATCTGTACATACAACAGTTTATTGACCTCCGAGTGACTCCGATCAAAGCGCTTTCATAGGACTATGGAAGCGGGTCGCTGTCTCCCACATGACTCTCCTATTTGTTTCTGATATTTTTGTGTTTTTTCTCTCCATCTAATTGTGACATTATGAGTCTACGGCTCATCTTTCTTTGTCACTTAGACACAGTACCTCGTTTTGTTTCCAATGTCAACTAAGGGAATTCAAATAATAAAAAAAAGAAATTAAAAATCTTGTCTCATACAAGTTGTTGTCCTTTTTCCTCATCCACATAACAAGGTAGAACAAGTACGTTGACTTTGGGCTGAACGTTTGACAGCGCTTACATTTGAAAAGCTAAAAAGAATACACAAAATCATCAGTTTGAATAAATATTAAATACAATTATTTATTGGCTTATTGGAGTTAGTCTGTTTTTATTAAATCAACTTTCTTGAATAAATATAACAGACAGTTTTTTGATTGCAAGTACAGTTTTGTTTTTAAAAGGCTAAACGCCAACAAATATAGATATTAGAGATATTCCGTTAGATGTGAACATTTTTTAAATGATTACATCTCTTTTTTCAATAGATTTTGACTTTTTGGACCTGACAGTAAGATTAGAAATGAACTTTTTTTGTCCACATGCTACTGTACTCTGGCTCCAAAATCTACCAGTCACACAATAAATTAGCTTTTTTCTAGCAGCCACTTGCATATTTTAGCATTTGACTGGTAGCTGGTGCTGATTTTTTGTTAGCAACGTAAAAATCCTTAGCGGCCACCACTGGAATCTGATTCTACCCAAAGAATAACACTAAGATATTAGTGTAGCCTGATCTTTATCTGCCACTGTGCAGCATTCAAACGTTGATTCAGAACGTTATAAATAAAGCTCTTAACTATTCGGTACAGCCCTAATTATTTGACGTGTATAGTTTTATCTCCACTTACTCGCCTTTTCTGGAGCTTTAACCACATCTCATGTCCTTTGCTCAGTTGTTGTGGTCATCTGCAGAAAAAGACAGAGAAAGTTAAAGATAAAAAGCTGGTAAATGGAGTCTGAGTACGAGTAACAGTTCGAGAAAATACACTTAATCGCGAAAGAGTGATGAGAAAATCAATACCACTCTCATGTCTGTACACTAAATATAAAGCTACAGCCTAGCTGGTTAGCTTAGCATAGCCTGTCTCTGTCCAAAGTTACAAAACTCCCTTTGTCATGTTTGTTGAATCTGAACACTAACTGATGTGTAAAAATAGCACGTTGTGGTTTTAGACAGGCTAGGTCTTTTTAGTCTTTATGCTATGCTAAGCTAAGCTAAGCGGCTACTGGCTTTAGCTTGATATTTATCATACAGACAGGAGTGTTGGGGATCTTCTCATCTAACTCTCAGGGAAAACAATAAATAAGCATATCTCCCAAAAGGTCAAACTTTTCCTTCAAGATTTTCTTTTTTTGTTTTGTCAAATAAAAAAGCTCCCCGTTGTGCTTCGAGGAAAAATCTCACAGCCGTGTTTAAATGGTGTCTTTAATTTCAAGGCACTCACTTCACATTAAAGTTTATATCAGCAATATTTGGACTGTAAGATACCTGTATACAGAACATTAACATATTCATGACTCATTCAATCTCAACAAAATATAACATGTGTGTAAGTAATGCATTACAGATATCTGAACTTGCCCTCATTACCTGAATGAATATTGGATTTACTCGTCTCCTACTGTGTCTGGTTGAGCTGCCGAATACGTAGTAGTTGTGATATATGCAAAGGGATTAAAGGGTCAGTTTGCACAAATCATAAATACATATATATTCTCTATTAACTAGTCGTGTCTCGCCGTCGACACAGTTTTGTCTCAGGATTTTAAATATCCATCTCTGAGATTCCTGCAGAAATCTAAAGCTTGCAGATTTGTGAGTCTTAAGTTAGCTAACCTCAGCATGCTATTTCCCATGTTTAACGTCTTACTTTGACATGTTAGCAAGCTAGCATCGGCGAATTAGCACTGAACACAAAGTACAGCCGAGACTGATTGGAATGTCGTTCATTTTGCAGGTATTTGGTCATAAACCAAAGTATTGGGCACATTAAAGTTTAGACCCGATGATGGCGCTAGATGAAAAGTTAAGAGATCTACAAAGCTATTACAATTCATCCTGAGGGGAACATGAATATCTGTACAAACTTTCATGCCAATCCATCCAATAGTTGCAGACTATTCACTCAAAAATAAAATATGTTAACTTGTTTGTAGGACTAAATAAAAAGGTTACAATCATAAGCATTCATCCTCTGAGGACGTTGAATAATTGTACGATATTTCATAGCAACCCATCTTATTGTTGCTGAGACATTTCACTCAAAACCACATATGTTAACCTCACGGTTGCGCTAGATTAAAAGTCAGATGATCACCAAAGTCATTAGGATTCATCCTCTGGGGAACATGAATGTCTGTACAAAACTTTCATGCCAATCCATCCAATAGTTGCAGATATATCTCAGTCTCGACCAACTGACGGACCAAACAACAACGCCATCGCAAGATCATCAACAGACTTCACTTCAGCTGTTTCTTGTCATTGAAGAAATAGTCCCAATAAAAACTGCATTAATGTTTTAAAACTAAATCCCATTTACCTCCATGGTCTAAAAAACCTGGTAAAATAAAACCTAAACTATCTGCAGGAATAGGTTCGGGGTTTTTTCATAATTTGGTTGAACTGTCCCTTTAAGGATTGTTTGTGGGCGTTTTTTTAAACCTCTTCACAGGATTCACGCCACATTTGCCACAACAGAGCCAAACATCTCCAGCATCCTTTTTTCTTCTTCTCATTCTTACAAAACTGCTCTTGAAAGCTGTGTCTCCGAGTTGAGTCATTCAAGTTTCATAAACCCCCGAGAACCTCAACTCATTTCTTCATGCTTTCAAGAATGTGAAACATTTCCTGCAGAGGATCTCACAGCAGGTTCACCTTAGCCACCACTTGCTTGCAGCCCGTCTTGGAGTATTCGTGCCCCCCGACCTCAGGGTAATATCCAACCTCCCCCGCCAGGCGCTCCATGTTGGTATGATCCGGGTAGAACCCCTCTCGGGTCATTTCATCCAGGAAGCACTCCATCACGTGACTTTTCTCCAAAAGGCCCAGAGGTAAGACGTCCGCCTCCGTCCACAGCGGGTGAAGCTTCTCCAGAGAGTTGCGTAATATCGGAGTCAGCTCTTTCACCAGGTTGCTCGTGGAAATGCTGGAGGAGTTGTGCAGCATGTGCTTGGTGACGCGCGCGTGACCCAGGTTGCTCAGCAGCAGGTAGACGGCGTTCAGGTACTCGTTGGACTGCTTGGACGCCACGAGCTGCAGCAGTGCGTCCAGGATCTCGCAGTGCATGTGCTCGGCCTCGTCGAAGACGAAGAG